GACGTCGCTGTCCCAGGAGGCGCACATGAACACAGAATGGCAGCACATGTTCGGACACTCACAAGAACAATCCACTACCAAATGTAAGTCTTTGCTTTATCTATTGTTTTGTGTTTATTGTCTATGGTTTGCGGCTATAAAAATTTTATTCGTTTATATAAATGTCGGTTTTTGTATTGTTCATCATCATCAGCTCACTATACGTCCCCACTGAGGGACTCGCAACCTACCCTATGTTAAGGTTGATTAGACCATAGTCAACCACACTGGCCAAGTGCAGCTCACTAGCGCCATGCTGTCAAAGTCAAAAACATACAACAACATTCTTTTTATACTGTAGCTGTTGTTTTTTTTTTTCTTAATGTCATTTTCTATTTCAAAGTAGGTTTTATATATTTTCTGTCATCAGTTCAGATATTCATGTTTGACCATCTGTAAGACCGTAATCTTGCTAATATTATAAATGGATGGATGTTTGAAGGAATCTCCGGAACGGCCCAACGGATTATGATGGAATTTGGTATAGAAGAACATAGTCTGGAAGAACACATAAGCTACTTATTAAGTTTTTTTTGACTACGGACGATAGTTTTATTTGTAAAAGGTATATAATATTGGTATTGCAGCGTCAGAGCAACTAGCACAGTGCGGCGGTGTGAGCGGTGCACCGACTGTCGCTCAGCCCGCGCACTCACAGATGGGCCACAGCGCCAGCTATGTGCAATGTGCGTGCCAAATGATTATATAATATTTAATGCACCAATAGTCCAATGGTCAGGAATACTGACTGCCGATCTTGCTGTCTTCAGTTTAAATCCAGCCATTCGATTATTGTTGCAAACTATGATACATATGACACACTAAAAACACATTTTATTATATTTCTCCACTGAAATACTTGGATAAAGACTTATCATACATCAGTCTTTCCCAAAGTGGGCGATAACGCCCCCTTGTGGGCGCTGCAGGTCTCAAGTTGCGGGTCATAGTAAAAGTTTCGTTTAGAATTCTCCGTTAATATACATATATAGGTCTCAATAATTAATTAATTTAATTTGAAGTTATAGTGGTTTTTAAATATGTGAAAATATGGGGTCGCTAAAAAAATATTTATTCTCAAAGTGGGCAGTAGACAACATAAGTTTGGGAACCACTGTCATACATCATCGGGAAACTCACTGCCAAATGTGTGATCGTAAAACTACGCATTTTGTATGTTTTGCTTTGCTTAAATACAGATATTTTTGTAGTACAGTAAAAGTTTGAGGAAACATAAGATCGGTTAATTTAAATTCAACTTTATGCAGTATTGATAGAGTTGTTTATCGCTTGCATTTCTTCGTAGACAGCATGGCCCCCTGCCGGATAGAATTACGCAATTTAACGGCGCGAATGCAACAGAAATATCAAAAGTCTTTAAGGTATGGAATTTATTTACTAATCTATAATTAAAACTCTGGAAATAAAACTAGAAATATATATTTACTTGATAAATATTGTTCTTCTTTCAATAATTTATTTGTAAATTTGAATGTACAGTTGTCAATCGTATTGAAACTAATATTTTTGTGTAGGAGTCATGAAGATAACGGTGAGGGTGGAGAAGATTTATTACCCCCTCCATCATGGCGGCCGGGCAATCAGCTGCTCGCGTACCTACATGAACACAAGTCAGTAATAAATGGTTTAAATTTACTTAAATCTTAATTGTATTTACTAATCGAAAAGGTTTTCGATCTTATATAGAGCCTTAGTAGTCATAAAATCACTGCTTAGCGTTGATTTAACTTGAGAAATATTAGTTAGCGAATGATCAAGTATTTCCTTTGTTTTAAAATTTGTCGCTTGCGGCACTTTGTTATGCCCGGCGCCCTGGGCGGTGGCCCATATTGTAAATCTATCCCGATAGTATAGACCTGGTAAATGGTGAGAGTGGTAGGAGGTTATTGTGGTCAACAATGGTTCGTTTACCCCACTTAAAGGTAGGGTAAAAGCAGTAGTTATTGTCAGGGCGCGCGTGAACCAGCTGGCGCGTGTGCCGGGCGTGCGCGGACTGTTTGCCTCATGCTCGGACGACGGGACTGTGCGACTGTGGGACGCTAACAGACTGCAAGGACATGCTTATGTTAACAAGTAAGTTTTTTTTACGAAAAATCTAGATTTTTTCTAGAATTCAATAAAACTCAAATAACTATTTCATCTAGTTGTTTACACTTTGACTTCCCGCGATATTCTCTTGTGTCACTATTTTTTTTCTTTTTAAAAAAAGACAAAGTTCCTCAGTGGCCGGTATTTCACCTCTTTGGGATAATATTTTATCTATTATCCAAAGAGGTCGGAAACAATATTGGTACATTATTTTCACACCGATTGTTTTAATTCTTTATTTTGTCAGGTCAAAGTCCATGTACAACCGCAGCGCAGGTCCCGTCATCTCTCTGGCGTCGTGCGAAGGAGGACAGTCTCTAGTCGCCGCTACACAGGAGGGCTCCATATTTGTGCTTCGGTATTTAATCTTTTTTCTTATTTATATAGGAAAAGAAGATTGTAAGCTGATGTTAATACTGTGATAAATATTTTCATAAATATAGTGTAAGTTAGCTCCACTAACCGTGGGTTTCTGAGACCAAATACCGTTTAAAACATGTGCGTTTTACTAGCTTTTAGTTGTAGTCTTTGGTCCTTCGAGTCGGATTTATGACTCGAAGGACCAAAGACTAATCAAAATGTGTTGGTACAGAATGGACAGCGGGTCGTCGCGCATGACGCTGTCTCAGTGCCGGCAGGTGTCGGCGGGGAGTGCGGGGGCTGCGGAGGGGTGCGTGGCGTGCGCGTGCGCAGGCGGGGTGCACGCCGGTGTCATCTCCTACGCAACACTTAATGCCACAGTCGTCGGATGGGATCTCAGAGCACCCGGTATATATCAATTTCAACTTAACTCGACCCAATAAGACGAGTATAGAAAAGTCTTAATGAAATGTTAAATTATAAAATCCTATATGTTATTGCAGGTAACGCGTGGAAGCTGCAAGGTGACTTGAAACAAGGCGTGTACACGTGTCTGTACGCGAACAGTGCGGGCTACGTGGCCGTGGGGACTTCCAGCGGTGCAATCTGTGTCTGGGATCTCAGGTTCCAGCTGCCTATCACCACTGTCAGGCATCCTAACTGTGAGTACACAACAGTTATACCTCAATAAAAAAATATAATATTTCATACATGTGACAAATTTTTGTTTTTTTTCCGGTCTTTGTATGTCTGGAACGGCTGGACAGATTTTGATAGGACTTTGACTGGAAGGTAGCTGATACACGCGGCCATGTTATAGGCTATTTTTTTCTGATAATAATATTATTGTTTATTACAGCGGAGCGTGTACGTCGTATCGTGGGTTGGGGAGGGTTGTCATCCCGCGTGTGGGCAGTGGGGGGGCGCGACGCAGCGGCCTGGTGTCTGGAGGCGGCGCAGCGCACACACGCGCTCTGGCCCTGCACCAACACATCGCATCCACTCAACTACTCTACACCGGTAACAAGCACACACACACACACACTCAAGCACACATTCGCACTCACTCAAACCACCCACACGCACACACGCAAGATGAATAGACAATAAGCTAACATTAAACCTTAAACGGTTTATTCCACTGTGTGTGTTGTCAGGCATGTCAGTATCTAAGCGCGGCGTACTGCGGGCGGCGCGGGGCGGAGGGCGGCCGCTTCCTGGTGACGGGCGGCAGTGACCAGCGTCTGCGCTACTGGGACCTGAACCAGCCTGAGGACTCCTACGTACTGCTGCACGCGCCCGCAGACCAGCTCAGACCACCTGGCGCTATTAAATATAGGTCAGGGGAGATAGAACTATATCTAAACTCAAATAGGAACGTGGATCGTCTTAGCGCTGGTTTCTAAGACCAAAATCTCTGTATAAGGACATATTGTTGTCCTTGTCATTATCTTTGACAAAACAGAAATGTTTTAGATAGGCCGTTGGCCTCAGAAATCCCAATCAATAAAATATGAAACATTTTCAACCTATCCGTAGTATTTCTAACTAATTTTTTTGGCTTTATATATATGTTCAAAATTTAACTAAACTAATTCTATCTAAAACTAAAAAAAATAGGCAATCCAAAAAACAACAATTATGACACCAGGGCAAACAATTTTTTTTTCTCCATTTCTAATTAAAATTACATATTAATCTCAAAATAAAATATATTTTAGCTACAAAAAATGCTACTTTTTACTTGTCATACCAAAATACTAATATAATGTTTATTCAATCTTTCAGTTCCTAATTTGCATATTAACATTTTAATTCTCAGGAGTAGAATAATCGACGGTACCACAGTGATACAGGAGTGTTCCAAACTGAACCCCAGCGCCCCCGCACCTGCTGCGGCTTCAGAAGACAACGTATACCGCAGTGTCGAGTCCCGGTCCTTCCATCACACCGCACCCATCACCGATATCACAATGGTTGAAGGGAACAAATGTTACCTTGTTAGTTCCTCCGCTGACGGTGTGATTAATGTTTGGAAATAAACTTATTTGTGGTACTTTGAAGTACAGATGTTTTTGATTATTATTTAGTTTATATTGTTATATTTATATTTTAATATTATTTAAGTTAGCTGTTATACAAATCACTTGGTTATCACAAGTAAAGACATGTAGTGTTCTGCGTTGAAAAATGGAAACAATACAATTTAATATAATTCTATTAGCAATTTAATTTCATTGTAAACATTTGAAATATTTTTGAATATAAATCCTCATTTTTTAATAAAGTTCACAATAAACGATGAATTTCTAGTACATAAACTTCCATAGACAACATTATTTTTTCTTTGTATTAAAGTGAAAGTCTATGGTTAATTTATATAGAATAAAAAATACTTAAGTATTATATGTATTGTAAATAAACGATTTGTAAAGACTGTTATTTATTTTTTTTATTTACTATATTTATTTCCCTCAAAGTTCTATTGTTAAAGAGAATACCTCGGAGATACATACAATTATGTAAAAGAACAAAAAAAATTATAAAAACAATATAACATTGATTTGCATATAAAAATTATATCATACCTTAAATTATAATAAACTTAAATACTAAAAATCATTTTAAACTTACAATTTACAAGAAAAATGATGCATTGATTTCACCACAATTATGAAAATTGTACAAAAGTTTCGACTAACCAAACCATAAAAGGTAGGGCTACATTGGATGCAGCACAGTTTAAACATATTTTCTTTGTCTTTCAATGCAGGCAAATTATACAAAGTAAAGAAAAATCGTGCATTGGGCATGGACCAATGGATGCATACCTTAAATAAGATAAATAATATGATTCTAAATGATTACCAAGAAATATCACAAATTAGTCATCAAATAAGCAAATGGCAATCAAATTAAAGCAATGTACAAAAAATGCATTGTCATATCTACCCTGTATGAATTTATATTCTACATTTGATTCTTAAATGTGGATTTTCGTCGCAAAAAAACTTGTACGAAGAAAATGTAGGTAATTTCATTATCTCTGAAATGGGATATTAGATTTATACACATTTTTTACTATCAAAACATATTTCAGCTAGAAACACAATATAAAGACAACATACCATAAATAAAATTCCACTATGACACAATTATTTGATCAAATCAAATATTAATGTAATGTTTTTGAATGGATTAAATGTCATTATTATTATATGGTAATATAAATATCTGGCCTTTGACAGGTGCTAAGGCAGTTAGTTCTGTGTTTGAATTTAGAATATGATCCAAAAACCTACAATACTCAACACACAGTCAACAAAGATCTTATGAAAGTTTATTAACTTTGACAGATGGTGCTAAGGAGCAACCTTAATTTATTTTCACTTATACTCACCGGATAAGGTAAGTTTAAACTAAATACATTTATGTGTGACAGTTTACCACAAACCAAGTGTGAATAAATCCATCCATACAATAGTATCACTATGATTCATTTACCACTTTTTCCTACTTTCTTATCATCTTGCACATCTTCTAAAAGCTTTTCTAAATCTAATCCCGCAAATTTTGAGTTCTGTGAATTTGATGCATATTCGAGAAACAAATCTTTCAAGAATTGGAGATCTTTTGTTAATGTTTTCACTTTTTCTTCAAGCATTTGATTTTCTGCTTTTAATTTATTCACTCTGGTGAATGTTTCTTGTGTTCGTTGTTTTGATTTGAATCTGCTTTTCTTAACTGCCTGTAAGTTATTTCACAATTTAACACAAAACAATTGCAACATAATTGTACAATAACTGTAATCTTTGACCTTTTTTAACTAGAAATAATGACCCAAAGTAATGAACATTTTTCAAATAAGATATGACCTAAAGGTTTATGTTACCAGGTCATAAAATAAAAACGAAATAATAACAAAACGAAAGGAAAAGTTAATGAAATAAATCCAACAAAGACTTGCATTATATTTCAAACATCTTTATAAATTTTTTGTCCGTTTTCTAAATGTAGGGTATATTTTATAAAGTAGCTTAAAGTGATTTAGATTTCTATCAATGGATTTTAAGATTTCCAATTAACAAACCTCATTGTTTCTGTCTCTTCGCTTCCTGTAGTCGTCATCTTCATCATCAGCATCGCTGAGACCTCGTTTGGGTCGCTTTTCCGGCGGCATCGAAGTAAAATCATCCAATAACATCAAAAGAATTAACTGCTTTGCAGCAATATGCGCTCACTTCTTATTTTCAGTTTTGTTATATTCGGTTTTCCAAGTTGTTTTTACCACAACCAAGAAATATGACGCAATAATTCTAATGAACTGGATTTTCACTTTCGTCACCCAAATTTGGTATTAACTTGTTTAGAAAAATTAAACTAAGAACTTTTAGACTTTTCCTTGATTCGAGTGAATAATTTAGTTCACATTAGATTAGAAAAGTAAAAATATAAACAAAATATAAAAGGACTGTGAAAAGACGATTTGATATGACGTGAATATGACGTATCGTGCGTCATTCGATTAACCAAAGATTATAGAATATGGCAAATGCAGCTGACGTCTACTGTCAACGTCATTACGACAAGAACAGATAAGAAATGGTAGTTTCAAAAAAAAAATATGTTAAATCTTTGGTCATGGCCAATCTATGTAGTGATGTACGTAGGCCTTCAAGAACAATGTGTCCTTTCAGGTCTTGATATGCGATATTTGCTAGACCAACTTGAAGGTTATCTGACCGTGGCACGAGATGATAAAATAAATAAAACAAATCATATCAGATCATATAATTCATTCATTGCAATAAATCTCTAACAATGTAAGTAAATCTTATTTACACAAATAATGGAAGCATCGTATGCCGAACAATCTAATACTGTAACGCTACATTACATAATCGTTAAGGAAACAGAAATTCAAGAGTTTTATGCTTATTTTACGCTTTATTAGTGACCAGACTTTGAATATGCGATGCTTAATGTGCAAATTTTGTTTTAATGACCATAAACATTGAAGTTAATGTCAAAAAACAACCGCCTACAATATTGTAGGCATATCCAAAGGTTAACATTTATTACCTTAATTTGGTCAATTCTAGCAAATGTTTAGGCCTGAACACTACAAGATTATGTTATCGACTCAATTTGCACACTAAGTTATCACATTTTCTATCAAATTTAACATTAACACTATAGTAAAAGACTAAAATCTAACAATCTATAGAAAAGTCATACGAATTAAATGAATATTTTACAAGATAATTCAAGTATAGTAACAGATAGATTAAAGTCGTAGAGCACAACACACAGACACACATTAAAACACGTAATTATTCAATATACTTAATATATCACAGAATATGCGATATATCAGAACACACGATTGGAATTATTTGCTAGTGATAAATTCAGTAATCATTGTTACCCATGTATATAAAGAACAAGACTATGGAATTCAATTGATAAATAAATTTACACTTGGATTTAGTGTCGTCGTTTATAAAAAAAAACACAATATTTAGATAATATTAAGAGTAGGTAAATATAAATTAATGTAAAGATAAAGCAATATTCACACATATTAATGGATATTCTTAGTAACCATAGACAATTTTTCCATATTTTTTCTGTATGTGCGGCTGTGTGCTAACGTACCAAATACGTAAAAAATATAACACTGTAAATATTATTGTCAAACTAATGCAGCTACCCATCACTATTTATAGTATTAATATTCATTTTAAATCTGAAATTTAAACTGACAGAAGAGATGACTAACATGTCTATCGCCTATCTCGCTCTAACGTGTATTATCGTCTCGCTCACTCCTGTATGCATTTGGTTTTAGTTCACTTACGAGAAAATTTAATGTAAACATTAATACGAAGTCCGGTCTATTGAAATATTTACATTTTACTTTTTTAATTAACAATAATTGTTGCGCTATATTCTGAGCTATATTTAACCAACTACTATTATTATGCATTATTATAAAATTCCTTTCGTTCTATTATATTGTCTGTTCGTTTTATTCCTTATTTGTTATTATATTAAATGTCAAAAATCGTATTCGGGATAAGAAAGCAATAAAAGTACGCAATTACAGCCTTCAAAAAACAGCATCTAATTTTGACAAATGTCAGAATTAATTGCGCCTTCATTTATTTCCTTGTCTAACTTTTGGCACAGAAATGCAATAGGAAAAATTTCTTTTATTTTTATTTTGTGCATCTATAATCTTGGGGTACGATTATGAATGTCAATCATTTACTGAAAACCTAAACGAAAATAGTATGTTTTCGGTTCCCTACATCTAATTGCTTACCACTAATAATAACTCAATCTAAAACAATCGATAAATACAGATATATTCAATGTTAAAATCTATTAATAATGACAAATCCGTAACAGGAACATTTTTTATAAATAAATAACCTCTCAGAAGCAATGGACATAGAGTATACAACATAGACCACACATCTTTTTTGTTTGCTTACTCTATGACCTATACTTTGTGACTAACGGTCTTAGCGTAAACGATACTTTTAAAGTTCATCATAGCAAAATGCAAACTGTTAAGTGGAATTTAATGGAAATAAAAAAATATAAAACAAATGTATCTAAACAACTTTTATAATTATGTCATCGTAGACTGAAACAGTCATGTTTGTATCATCTTATTTATGCATTGAAACATTCCAAAGTAAATACATAGACAATTTACAGTTATTTTTTATTTCCATTGAATTGGACTATAGTATTTGAGTCATAATTTATAAACTTTTTTTAAAAACAGACAAAGTAAAATCAACAAATATCAACAAAGAATTAACTTTTATCCTGATAAAAAATATAAAATTGGATGCTGTAAAAGTATCGTACATACAATAAGACTTAAAATGGTTTCTACTGCATACGAAATTATAGGACATCACAATTGATAAAATAATAGATTTTTTTTATTCAACATATTTCTAACCACTGACTATAAGACTACACTACATTTATCAATATTGCATACTCATAGTCGGCGACTAAAAATACGCTTAGTGTAAACACTACTTAGTACTTATTGTGGTCAATAAAGCCACATCATCATCATCATCATCAGCTCACTATACGTCCCCACCGAGGGGCTCAGAGCCTACCGTAAGTTAAGGGTGATAAAGCCACATACTAACTTTAAAATAAAAAAAATAAATGCAACAATTTTCCAATATAACTCGACAAATTTTAATTTACCACTACCGTCCTTATACAGTACTAGGTAGAGATAAATTAAAATCGTACGTGTAATACTTATTTCAATTGACATAAAATAAGGAATTCATATAATTTTTGGTTTATTAAATAACTAATAACTAATAAATTGGTTTCAAATGATATTTAAATAGATTTACAGTAGAAACCACAGAGATAACCTTATTTAGTAATAATTTTGATTTTATAAGATTCATTTCAAGTCTAAGCTCGCAAATTGTACGTTGGAGAAACAAACAGAACAGTACACCTTTGAATTTCGAATGATAATTAAAAAAAAAAAACATCAAAAATATGTTTTAGTCAAAATCTACAGCTAAATGGAATAAAAGTTTTTTACGTTGACCACCAGCTACTCGTCATCCACGCGTCATGTACGCGTAGACTAACAAGCGGTCAAACAAACGAAATAAAAACATGATTTTCAAACAAAACCAATTATTAAAACCTCTTTACATAATTTCTAGTAAGATCTGTTCAAATATATTTTTTTTCGTTAAAATTCGTAATAACAATGTCGTAATTAAATTACTCAAACATTTTCATTAAGTAAAGTAAAACAGTTAACTGTGAAAATTAGGCAAAGGTTTATAAACAGCCAATCATAACATTTTGTAGGTTACCTGACACTGTCAAGTACCTATAACTTTATTTTACTTTAAAAAATTAGGCATATTTAAATTCTTCATTTGAACCAACGATTTTAGCTTAGCTTAGACTAGTCTATCCTATCTAGGTCTTAACTAGTGAACTAGTTTAGTCACTTACGTAGTTAACATAGACAACAATTACGTCAAAGAGTAGACGTCAAAAATTATTACAGATAATAAAATCAACTCCATTGAAGTGACATTTTGTATTTATATTGCCATCCCTTTCATTTTCTTTGATAAAACAGAGACGACAATACATTTACTGGATAAGCGAAAGTGCAAAGGACCGAGATTTTCCTCGCTTATGGAAGTACTCCATAGTAAATAACGCACACTTTTAGAGGTTTCTCGCTTATCCAATTTTTTTAAATACAAATTTTAATGTAAAAGAGATCATTTTAGGCAGTATAGATTAAAAATCGATAAATCCAGACCAAATCTAATATCAGCATACTAATCGATATTAGTTCGAGTATTAAACGTTTTCAGTGTTGCCATTATGAAAATCTTAATTTGACATTTATTCTTATTCAAATCTACGTCATTATTTTTTATGAACACAGCCTACACTTAATTTTATAAAGATAAAGAGAAAAGATACGAGATTCGAAGAAAAAAACAATAAATTACTGCTTCAATACATTTGGTATCAGAAACATTCAATCTGTTTTTTTTTATAATTACACTGACGAAATCACACAAAACATGTCGTGGAATATTTTTTATAGTGTGTCTATTTAAGATAGATTAGTTTGACAATTCACTAGGGTTGGGTGGTTGGGTTGAGTGAAATCGATTAAGAATTTTTTCGATTTTTGATCATCGTTCTCATAGTACTTGCAATAGATAGTCCTATACTATGACAACCAATAGGTACAACATTAATCCTCATACAAAATTAATTCGATACTTCATAGGCGTCAGTTATCAAAATAATCTATCTTAAATAGACATAGTATGTTTTATGTTTCAATTTCGTTAATACGAACACGTCAGGGTTGCTACATATTAAAATTATTAAATATAATCTGTACTGTTCACTGTGGAGGTTGCATTTGAGTTTTACGACACTGACACAGCCATTTTATAATGCGAGCGTTGCGCTCAACAACGCTGGGAGGTTCCGTGTTACGGTAAATCTGTTTCTGAACTCCTGGACCTTGCACCTAAAAACAAACATATTGAGATATAAATAACAATAACAATTGTATATTTTAATATTAATATAACATTATTGTAACGTAATAAAACAGAAGAGATTGGTTATTGAATCTTTTTTTAAAATTATGATTGAATATATTGCAGTTACTATCAGTTGACGCAAAAACGTGCGAAATAAAAAAAAAAGGATTTGATTAAAAGTCTATGCGTTCTTCCGGGCTATGTTATACGTCTATACAAAATTTCAGCGAGATCCATAAACCCGTTCTGGATACACCTTGTAACAAACATCCATCCATCCATCAAAACTTTCGCATTTATAATATTAGCAAAATTGTCATTATAATGTGTATCAAAAGCTGTTCCTGCTTGATATAGATAACTTGAATATAAAAAATTGAATATGTTTGACAACTTGTTTAATATCAATTATAATGCTTATATACAAAACTATTTGTCAGAATATGTCAAAAAATGTAGTCAAATGTTCAACTCTTACCGTATAATCAGCAGCATTGGCGAGCTGATTGGAATCAACAGTTGAGGCAGAGGAGAAGAAGACCGGGCTGTCTGGAGGCGCACCTCTTAACAGGGCATCGTATTGTCTAGCTTCCAGACCTAGCCGCTCGAAGAAATGCCTCAATCTGGCGCTGCCTTCAGACCGGCTATCAGAGTCCCCGCCCTCCTCGGCCCCGCCCCCCGCCACGCCTCTCACCTCCCGCTCGCCCTCACATGGCGCAGAGGACGCGCTGCGACCGTCCGTACGACGGTATCTAGTTATAATTATATTGTTATATATATGTAAAAGCATAAATAATGCTATTTGACTCCTCTATTATAAAATATGAAATATTACGAAACAATAAAAATGGTGTTCAATGTCTAAAAATGTCCCCTTTTCTATAAATCCCCTTACCTTCCAAATTCCTATTTCCTTCCCATTTTTAAAATTGGTACTATCTGTATGGAACTGTTTAGTTTTTTTTTTAATAGCAAACATAAATATAGCGACGTGACCGCAACCCATAGACATTTATATTTGCAAATGCGTTGTCTACCTTTAATCGTTTAGTAAGAAGATATTTAATCTTCCTATACGCCCCCTTTTCTCATATCCACCTCCCCTCCCCATCTCTTACTGATAAAAAGGGTGGGCAGAAGAGGACTAAAATTAGCCCTCTGACACACAACTCATCAGACTGTACTTGGAATGACCTCTAAATTAAGGCGTGTCCTGTGTGGGCGTGGTATTACACTGGGCGAACCGCCATATTCGTGCAAAAAATGTTATTACAAGATCTGCCTTTGTTAAATTTAAAGAGATTATATTTGTAGATGATAAAAATAAAATATTAGACAAGATTTTGAAGTGAGCTATACCTGTCAGATATATCAGACTTGGATCGCAGTATAGGTCTCGGGCGACGCTGCTTGTAGCGCAGACAGCGCTGTCGCTTGAACGTGCCCAGCGGTGACGTCACCTCCTCCCCACCACATTTCTGAATATTCAAATAAAATTACATTCAAAATGAAACATTATATTAGATATTACAGTACTTTAGTTAAGTTATTCCTTGCATCATAATAGAATATGATTTAAGGTCATCACTCATTAAACCCAAAACAAATAACATAGACATTGTTCGCGTTACTTACTGACAAGATAAAACGAGACAGATGTATCCTATCGCTATCAATCTCTCACTTCCTCACATCTGTGTATCATAAACGCGTGATTGCCACTAATTGATCTCTATATCGCGATAGTTAGTTCAGATTTGAACGCGTCTGTTAATTCTATCTCTATTTTTAATTTTAATCCACACCACTAGAACAAACCACTACCATCAGCCTCAAAATGGCGAAAATAAAATAGGCACAAATACTACGTTCTTATAGCCATTTATATTGTGAGGTACCTGTTGTGGTGCATTAACGTAGTCCTGCGTATCTTCGTGCCTGACCCGGCGCGGATCCTGGTACTGCGGCTGCTTGCTCACCAGCTCCGTGCTCGGCTCGTGATACCTACAATTAAGAAGCGATAGTACTAAATTCACATCAAATAAAGATTTTAGCAATTCTAGGGCCCTGGGTGACATTCTATTTACCATGCATATGGGAGGAGGGTTAACAAGGTTAAGTGAGACAGTAATTTGCAGATCTGTGATGCCGCAATCTGACCTGCGCCCTGGAAGGTCACCCTGACCTAATTAGAGTTGAATTAATCAGTACTGTCCCATTTACATCATTCCAGTAACTGATCGAATCCAACGCTGTGTGAGAAGTAAAGATGATATTCCAAATGGAACTACTTACAATTAGCTTCATGTTCTAATCCAGTACTTGATTGATAACTGTACTGGAATGCTGTATACAGGGTAATAACTAGTGATAGTTACCTGTTATAGTCCCGGGCGGTGTACTCGTGTCTGCCGACGTTGAGACACTTGAGCGGTGCCTTGTACGTGCACTCGTAGTCACCGTAGTCGTACACGGGAGGCTCGTCCTGGAACTGGGGGGGCGGGGCACTCGCCTGGGGGGGACAATTAATTGTATCTATACTAGCTGTACGCGACGCGTTCCTGAGATATCTTCTAACAAACATCCATCCATACATCCATACAGCCGCTTTTATAATATTTGTAAGAGATAAAATAGAAATGTCAGTGTAAATGTACGTCGTAAGTACTTTTACGTACGTACATGACAATTCTATCTTCGAGCGAAGTGTTTTTTTTAACAGACTTCAAAAAGGAGGTTATCAATTCGTCTGCATGTTTTTTTTCTTTTTGATTTTTTTTTATTCTTGTCTATTGTCAAATAGGTTTTGGTTAAGTTTGTGATAAACTTATACATGCGTAAGTCGGAACTATGATAAGCGAAAGTCCACGGAACAGATATTTGTCTTACCTATAAAGGTTTCTCTATAACCCAAGATTCTCGCACATGGAGATTGTCCGTCAGGACCAGACAAAGACTTTTGTGCATATAAATTTCTTGGTTATCCTGATTTAATTGTGTTCAAGAAGTTGCGCAGATATCTTAATGAGGTCTTAACATGTGATACGTACCTGGAAGTGTATACCGACACGGGGGTGCGGGGCGTAGTGTGTGGGGGCGTGGGGCGGAGCGGCGTGGGGCGGAGCGGCGTGCTGCGGGGGCGGGGGCGGGGGCGAGGGCGCGCCGTCCTGGAACTGAGGCGGCGCTGACACGTAGCACTCTGCAGGCTCGCGGGCACGCGCACCGTACCGACTGCAAAATATACTCAAATTATATTAACATATTGTTGTCTCTGTTTAATTAAAGAGAATAAAAGAGATGACAATATTATGTTTTATATTAGTGTTGGAAGGATTATTTTGTCAAAGTAATATTTGAATTTTCAATTTTAATTATTTCCAATGTATTGCATACATTATGATTCGGAAATAGATACATTCATTGCTTATCACAGTCCTGCGTCCGTGGCTCAGAGGTTCAGTACTTGACATGTCATTTGCAGGTTCTGAACTCGAAATCCGCCGTATACCAATGCATTTATTCGACATCCTTATGACAAAGGAAAACATCGTGAAGCGACCTTCACATATCTGTAAAGAAAATCAAAGATATGTGTCAAGTCTCATGGCAGTGTAGTTGACTACGGTCTAGTCTATTCTCAGGGTAGGCTCCAATCCCTGAGTGGGGACATATAGTGAGCTGATGTATAACCTGGCATGTTCATGCTGTGTGGAGGAGCCGGAGTCAGCTCGTGGTGGTCTCGCGTGTGGTGGTGCACTGCGCTGCGTGTAGTGACCGCTTGAACCACCGGAGTCACGAGCGAATGACGACCCGCAACGACTGTGCCACAGATTAAATTAGTTATACCATAATACCAGTATAAAAAGTGTTTGTACTGGTATTTTCAATATAGTAACAAGTACGTTAATATTGTTCGTACTGGTTTTTTTAAATAGTATTAATATTATTAAGTCGAATGTTTGGATGGATGTATGTTTGTTTGAATGTATCTCCAGAATGGCTGAACGGATCTCGATGAAATTTGGCATACATAAAGAACATAGTCTAGTAAAACACAAGGACTACTTATTATGTTTATAACGCCGCGCGGACGGAGTCGCGGGCGACAGCTAGTACATGATAAAGTTTGCTACAGAAAGTAAATTAGTTCTATGATACGCTAAAATCTTCTAAACGACATACAGAACTAGTAAACAAAAACATGTTTCTTACAACTTCAGTTATAAAAAAAAACTTAGCCTAATTTTGGTTTTGTAGAGCGCCATCTCTGTCACACAGTACTATAATAGTCCATGTGCGAAAGAGATAACGCTCTACTATGAGGAATATATTATTTATCTATATTTTTACCTATTATAAGACTGATAGTTCTCTTCACCCGGCGAGGGATGTTCGGAAAACGCTTCGCAAGAAGATATCATCGAAGAATGGTTTGATCTATAACAACTGTAAATACATTTTATTAAATACTAGCAATTGCCAGCGACTTTATTCACATGAAATTAAAAAAAAATCTATTAATTAATATAGCCTATGTCATCCGGAGATAGTGTAGCTTGCTAACAGTGTAAGAATTTTTCAAATAAGTTCAGTAGTTTTCGAGCCTAACAGATACAAATATAATATCAAATCTTTCCTTTTTTTATAACAGAAGGGGGCAAACGAGCAGCGGGAACACCGAGGTGTTCAACGACGCCCATGGACATCAGCAATACCAGAGGAACCGCAGATGCGTTTTTATAATCTTACTAATATTATAAATGCAAATATTTGGATGGATGTTTGTTTGATGGTATCTCTAGATTGACTACATAGGTCTCCGTGAAATTTGACTTAGATGTCTACAGTCTGGAAAAATCGATAGACTAATTAAGGTTTCTTTTTTTTAATTCCGCGGGCGTTATTTTACTATACTATAAATGCGAATGTTTGGATGGATGTTTGTTAAAAGGTATCTCCAAAAACAGATAGACATACACATAGACTTCTAATTAAATTCTTTTTATAATTTCGCGGGGACGAAGTCGCGGGCGATAGCTAGTATTAGTATAGAAAAGTTTAAGACTTTATAATTTTTATGGTAACCAGTTACCTGGTGCCTTTAGATGAGCAGGATGCAGTGCGGTGATGTGCAGAATGGCGACGTCTGCGCGGTGACCTGCCTAACGTGTCCGTACCACCCACAGTCGTACTAAAATATTACATATTCATTTTGTAATTCAAAAACGCCAAATAACAGATTTATCGTAGGTTTCTGAGACTGAAATTCATGTATAAAACATATCTCTGTTTTGTCATTATCAAAGATAATGAGAGGGATGACTATATGTTTTATAGATGGATATTGGTTTCAGAAACCAACAATTAGGGCTGGTAAACTTTTATTAAGAAATTGAGCTCGATTCGAGTTTGTCTTAATAAAAATTTAAATAATATATTTTTTCTTTGCTTGACCAAAGGTCACTCATCTAGATCATTTCAGAAATATCTGATCTGTACAGATGTGTACTCACGGCTCGGGGTAGGTGTGCGCCTGCGCATGTAGATCGGGCAGTGACTTATGACTGTTGATGTTGGTACAACCCTCCTCCTCTCTCATGCTCGGCTGAGAATGCGAATTTGATCTGCAAATACAATAATTATTTGTTAGAAATAATAATTGATATTAGTGTACGTTCAAACATCAATCAGGTTTCTGATCTCAGAAATGAGGGAAAGGGTGGACGATATTCTCTCTCTCTCTTATTTTGCATAGTTCTATCTTTCATTCCCAGACATCTAGTAGCTATTTTTTATATAAAATATTAGCAGATATTAATAAATTTACTTATATTTCTTGTACTATTTCAAATAAGCTCTATTTTTGTGCTAGGACATCGTTTACGACAATAGTCGAATGGCGAGATTCATACTAAACGACTGCTAAAAGGACTTCTATTAAATATTGAAGAACTCTGACTGTAGCAGTATATTTTGTATGTATGTGTGCGTGTGCATGCTAACGTGTGCGTATACGTACCTACGTGTGCGTGCATGTGTGCGCTTGTACGCACGTGTGTGCATGTGTGTGCAAGTGTGGGCATACTGCACATGCGTGTGTGAATCACCTGATGTATCTGGGTGCGGAGTGCGCGTACTGTGCAGGCGGGCTGATAGCGCCAGGGTCAGCTGGCGAGCCTTGCCCGCTCGCCACCGGCTCCGGCAGCTCCATCTGACCCAGTTGTACCAGCTGACCACCGCTCGACTGAGGGCTCGCTATATGTTGGATACATGTTTATTTCGAGTTAAACATCTTTTTGGAAAAACCATTTTTTTTGTATATTCCCATTTTTACTGGATTTAGAACATAATAATAAAAACTACATGACAACTTAAAATATCTACTAAACGAATCTTACTAATATTATAAATGCGAATGTTCAGATGTATGGATGTATAGATAAGTGGATGCTTAAAAGATGGTGTGTCCACAACGGCTAAATGGATCTCGATGAAATTTGCCATAGATGTAGAACACAGTCTGGAAGAACACATAGGCTAATAATTATGTATTTTTTAATTCCCCGCGGACAGAGCCGCGGGCGACAGCTAGTATTAACAGAAATAAATAAGTAAATTACGGCAAAACAAAAAAATATTCTAATTTTAACACCCTGTATTACTTTTAAAGCACATAGCTATATTTTATTAAATTAAAAAAAAAAACTTACGTATAGAATATGTATTTTTAATAATAACTTCACTAGGCCTCTGTCTTGGTATTACAAATGATTCCGGGAAGAAAACTCTAGCATCACCGAAGCTCAGTCTCTCTCTATCCGTTTCCAGACGGTGCGGTTTAGATCCGGACGTGCCGGACGACGATGTACCGGAGAACGTTCCGGACGTGTGCTGCGACCGACCCTCGCGTTCCGGATACGATTCCTTACGACGACTGTCCGGGTAGATTTTGTGCGCTGTAATTATCACCCGTTATAAGTTTTCATCTTACTAATATAATAAATGCGAATGTATGGATGTCTGTTTAAAGGTATCTCCAGAACGTCTAGATAGATCTCTCTGAAATTTAGCATAAATGTAGAACATAGTCTGGAAGAAGACATATGATACTTATTATAGGCTATTTAATATATTTATATAAACGTAATTATAAAGTTACAAAGAGAAAAAAAAATTGTACATTTCAGTGGTTCACTCTCAATTAGTCATACAATAACGTAAATCTTCTATATCCATACAAAAAACAAATATACATACAAACAGCATATCCAGGTGTATAGACATTCTCTCTGCTGTCGGAATGTTCCAGAAGTCTTCTTAATGTGTTCTGTAAACCCTCGCCCGCACTCACCGCACGTCTAGCGCCCCCCGCACTTCTCGTGGTGCCATCTGGAAACAATTTTATTAATTAAAAGAAACTCAACTATAGAACTTTATATGTCGTACTGAGAATGTTTGGATGTATGGATGGATGTTTGTTAGAAGATATCTCCAGTATGGCTCAACGGATCTTGGTGAAATTTGGCATAGATGTAGAACATAATCAGGCAGAATAGATATGCTACTATAAGATCTTTTTATTTTGGTTTTATCACATTTTATTTATAATAATTGTTAAATACATAATAGTATATTAAAAGTTATGATTTTTCAATGACATTTTTTATTTATTTAATAATTTAAAGGCGATGATGACGATTTATAGAGCGTAAGTGACGTTGTACTAATTTGTCATCTCAAGACAATAAAATTGCATCGATACTAACATGGGTTGCAACATGCGTCAGTGTTGGCAGTGCCCGAGCTGACTAGATGACAACCGCCCGCCGCTATCGCCTGACTGAGACCACTGCTCACCTGCAACATGCACATAAAAGGTTGGACAAAGACATCACAAACACCCATGGCTTCAGAACTTTAGAATAATGCTTTGTAGTGACACTCGTAGTTACATATTGTCGTCTCTGTCGTTTGAAAGAGAGTAAGAAGGATGCCAATACGTTAAATTTTGATGATCACGAATACCAGGCATATATCACTGAACAATGGTGTGAAGTGTGGCGTTAGAGGAAAGATAGAGATAGAAGTGTGTGTGTGTGTGGGTGTTTATGAGTGGGAGAGAAAGAGAGAGAGAGAGAGAGAGAGTTTACTATGTAACTCACCCTCAAAGGCAACTCTTGTTTCCTATCCAGAACGGTCTCCGATTTCACGTAGAACGCTTTCGTCTCGGCGAGCAGTTCCACTGCCGATTTGCGCTTCTGTTGCGGCTGGGGCACTAGCGACCGTGGCGCCGCCATGCCTTCCTTCTTACGTGGTAACTTGAAACTTGCGAATAGGGAGTCCGCTAGACGACGTCTGGGGGAAAATGAACCGTATACGCGTGCATTAAGGTACAAATTACAGGTGTAGTTTTCCCGTAATGCATTAAAAAACTAAAGTAAATCTATGCCTCATTGAACTATAGAAGAGATATTTTGAGGTTATCATGTTATTGAATAGTTACGATCGTTCGTTTTCTCACAGAGCAACGGTTATAAATAGGTGAGAGTTTTTCAAGCGATCTAGTAACTGCATTGTTTACTCTGTCTACGATTAACTGTATTCATCTATTTTAACTACATAGTAAATCAAAACAAAAGCAAAATGCTGGTCGTTTCAGCGATATCATTGGGTGGTTAAGTTTATTGTAATCATAGTTATTGCAGGATAGCTAATTTACTAAAGTCTTTACAACGTTTTTATAGTAGGAGTGGGTGAAAAAAAAAATTTCCTATACATCCTGTCCCCATATTGGACCATTACTGGTGTCATAAACAATATTACCGTTTAATTTTGTAGGATATCTCGTATGCTTACCTCGGCGGTGATTCAAACGACCTAGAGTACGATGTATCTGTCGCTCCTTCAAACTTCTTCCTAACCTCTTCAACCTTGGACCATGAGGAGTCGACGTTCAGCCGCCTGGTCAGAGGCGCGGCGGCTGCATGCTTAGTGAGCTCCTCCCGCGTCCTCTTCACGGACACCTCAGGTATGTAGTCGCGGTGCCGGCCACCCCGGCTCTCCTGGCATCGCTCGATGAACTGACGACGACGAAGCGAGAGAGACGCAGAATTGTGATCGTCTTCGTCGAGGCACCTAAAAAGTAACATGAGCTTAAATACGGAAGACGTGATAGATGGGTTGTGTGAAGGAAGATATGCGTAAGAAGGGAGTGAATTCAGATATGACAACTTGACAGAGATGTAGTGAAGATTAGTATTAATAATTTACTGTATATTACTAGGAAAGCTGACAGGATGGTGACAATGAGCTTTCAAGTGATCGAGTCAGGTGAATCGGGGACCATAAACCATGTCCACACCATCACATTAGGCGGGCAGCGTGAACATGCCCTTATAATTCTTTTTAAATGAAAATATATATTTTATGGCTTTTAGTTATCTATAAATACTTTTTAAAGATCGGGTACAACGATAAATTGTACAAAATAGTTTAAAACTTACCACTCCTGGTACTAGCGAAATGGTACGATAAAATTCCTCACAAATAAAATCGACTACTGGTATAAAACTATAAAAAAAGAAGTAAATAGGTCCCTTGTGAGTCGATACATAAAGGAGCGAGTCAAATGAGTTAGTCATGAAATGGTCGCATAAAATAGAATCAGGACGAAAACCTCGTAACGGCGTAATAGACACATATAAAATGCATAAGACTCGCCTTGTTCTCGCAAATTCAAGGCGTGGGGTTCATAAAGTTGGCAGTTTTACGACCCATAGACTGTCTTCACTAAAATAACTCACGACACTGAGAATTAAGGGTAATTACTCCATCTCACACAAAAAATTAAACATTATAAGACTTATTCCAATTAAATCTATTTACCGTTGCTTTCTGAGACCAAAATCTCTGTATAACACAGTCACCCCTGTCATTATATTTGACAAAACAAGGATAACAATATGTTTTAAACGGAGATTTTAATATCAAAAAACCCACAGCCAAACAGACATATCTAACACATAAAAAAGATACGTACAATTCCGATAGTTTACGGATACTATTATTATCAACGTGGCCAAGAGACGATGATGATAATGATAATAACGATGACATTTTACCTAGCGGGCTGCGCGAGGTGCGAGCGGCAAGGCTGGTAGCAGGAGAGCGCGGCCATGTCGCCGGGAGCTGCAGCCGTGCCACCTGCTCATCATTCGCTCTCCCCTGATGATCCTCACTCACTCACACAATCTGAAACAAATAAAATAATATTATACAAGGATGAAAGAAACTATATTTATAGCATGAAAGTGTAATTCAGATGGACTTATACCATCCACATTGATAAAATACTCTGGTATTATAAGCACCCGAAATCAACGTGTATATATACATGGATGTATGAATGTAGAAGAAGCGAGAGAGGTTTGAGAGGACCGCGCTCTTTGGAGGTCCGTGGTCTGCCTATCCTTCTGGGTTACGTTGTTTGCAAAAACTTGAAGAATCTATATATATTTGCAACAAGTTGATGAGTTACTTATACCTTATTTTAATATATAGAGAATAAGATGGAAAGAACAAAATTTTCCTTTCCCATCCTATTTCAAAACCACATACCCTTTCCATACAATAGTTTAACGTAGGTAATAATGGAAGTAAAAAGTTGACAAGCATTTTCTCTTTTGGCAATATATCGACAAGTACGTTTACAGGAATGTAACTTTCACAAAAATTAAAAAAGATGACGTGCATTATTCGGTAACACAAAATAACATTTTGATACAATTGATTTATGTTACGTCAGGAACTAACAACTTTTTAGTTAACTCATAACATATTGCTGATTCAATACACGTAAAACTAAAAACTCAATTCACGAACTGCCAAACTCACGCTGAGTTTGGCCAATAAATGCATCGCTTGGTGGAGATTTTATGTCTTCATTAAGCAACAGATTAAGTAACCATAATGACTATAACCTTAAAAACTACAGTAAGCATTTTACTCCTTTCACTCCAAATTCACCTCCATAAGTGAACAATAATGATATATTAAATTTTTAATACGATTACATTCTAATAGTGCTTCTATTTAATTTTTTTTTTAATAAAAGCATTGCACAAAGTACACAATAAACTTAGTTGGATCGGATTACTTAGTCATTACACGACAATCGCATCTGTTCGGTACAGTACACCCACAGACTAAAGACTATTAAATTGTACAATTATTCAATTTTAGACATAACAGGGAGATTGTTAGCTGAAGTATATGACTTTGGATAAATTTAACAACACCCACGTTCAAATAATTGCACGTAAAATATTCTACGAACCACAATACATAAAGTATCTGCTTTATTATTGAGTAGCTGTCTCCTGCGACTCCGTCTGGACTGAAAAAGTAATTCGTAGCTTACTTATACTTAACTTAAATGTTATAACTAATTTTGATTTGTATTTCTAATCATGTATGCGTAGATGTAAAAATGTAGAAAGAGCGAGAGTTGTTTTAGAACTGCGTCAAATGGAGATCTATGGTCTTTGTCTTCCCTTTAGGGTTACGGGGATGAGTCGTAACAACATTTTGTTTTTTTAATTATTGGACCTTATACCTACAATCATGAAAAGAGCGAACGCTTTTTAATTCGTGCCTTACACTACAATATTCTAATATCGAGAAAAACTTCCAATATTTCTTGGGGTGAATTTAACCCTATTTCCCACACAGGAAGTGCAAAGCTAGCGGTGTTTATGCATCAGGGCAATGTCACACATATACGAAATCAATATGAGCCTTGAAACGCAATATTCACACCACACTAACCGATCTTCCTTTAGAGTTCCACGGGAAAAATTTCTTGCGGTCTATCCGGTAAACGATACGACTATAATGTTCGCAGATCCCAGAGAACAAATCTTGCACTTAAATACATTTAAATTTATTAATTGTTAGATAAAATTCAAAAACAATACCTTCATAATAGACATCTCGTCAAATTAAGCACATTTGATATCAAACATGAGGACAGGGGTTCCAAGTGCCGCCCAACCATTTCGCCTCGGAAGAGACAAAAGAAAATATGGAGAACTGGTCGCCAATCTTCGTTAGTCTGAGAGGCGCCTCAAGAAGAAGAAGAAGAAGATAACAAACGGTAGTGTTGATAGGGTAGGTCGAGGTGGGCCAACTGCCCAGGGCGCCTGATATAAGGGGGCGCCGCGGGCGCTAGAGTCAAATATATGGTGGCGCCTGCGGTGGCCCCCAAGATATCCTATCTTCGGAAAATATTCCTCGACACCAAAAAAAAGGGGGGCGCCACAAAAATATTTTTTTTATATACTGACCTCATAATTTGATTTGAAAACACAATCTATACGTGCCAACATTCACTAGCCTACAGGTGTCCTAGATGACCAAACCGCGGTACCACATCCTAATTCGGTTGTGTCAATAAATTTCATGCCTACGTATTTCCTCGAATAACTTAAGGCAACAATTGAATGCGATGTGACCACAGCACAATAAAGAGGTTGTTATACTCGGCGTTACCAATTATGGCTGAATTGAATAGCAAATTAGCAATTTATCATTTAAAGCCACGACCACAATTTGTTAAAGTTAAAATTTTGCTATAAACATAAATATAATTTCAACTATTATTGTTAAAAATTACAACGTATACAGTATAGCTGTTGCCTGCGACTTCGTACACGCGGAATGGAAAAAAAACTTAATTAGAAATATATGTGCTCTTCCGGACTATGTTCTACATCCATCCATACATCTGAACATTTGCATTTATGATAATAACAAAAGAGAACTATAAATATTTCTAAGTTTAATAACATCTCAAATAAAATTAAACACGATAAAAACTTTCTAAACGTACCAAGTTATTAAACATTGTGCAAATGAAATAATAGTTAGATACGATTATTTACATTGAAGCCATGCATACTAATTACACATCATCACCATCATCATCATCAGCTCACTATACGTCCCTATCGAGGGGTTCAGAGCCTACCGTTAGTTAAGGGTGATTATGCCATAGTTAACCACGCTGGCCAATTGCAGTTTTGTTGACTTCACACATATCTTTGAATTTCTTCTCAGATATGTGCAGGTTGCATCACGATGTTTTCCTTCACCGTAAGAACGTCGGATAAATGTACATATGTAAATCGGAAATCGAAAAACTCATTGGTACAATGCGGGATTCGAACCCAGGATGCAAGTCAAGTGCTTAACCCCTGAGCCACCGACGCTCTTTACATTCTTTAATTACACATATATTATGAAAATAATTTTAACAAAACAAATAACATAAGGGCAAAAGTAATTGAGTAATAAATTAAACAAATGTAATATTAAATTTATTCTAGTGTTGATTGAAATTTCTAAGAAATTATGTCTCAAATTCCATTACAAACAGCTTAATAAATCACAGAGATAAAGCCAGATCAAGTTATTGCATAGTTGGTTCGATGTTGTCTTAACTAATCGAATTATTGGGAAATACTTGAAAAGGACTTTATTGATATATTTTCAAGTATAGTCTGAGATTCATATCGTACAAATATTATAAATGCGACTGTTTGTTCGTAGGTATCTCCAGAACGGCTGAACGGATCGCGATGAATTTGGCATACATGTAGGACGTAGCCTGGAAGAACACACATAGGTTACTAATGTTTTTTTTTAATTCCACGCGGACGGAGCTATTGTTACAATATTGTTAAAAAAAAGTAAAATCCTCCATTTTTTATCCATTTAACTCGATTACGATATAGTAAGTTTATTTTCTAGCGTGCTTTCACTATTAGTAATTTTTATTTAAATGTAAACAAACTGTGCGTTCAATTTATAATAAAACGTGCACTTAAAACATTTATTTTAACAACATTAAATGAGCAGAGGTTACGTAAAGATCTCGACTAAACATTGCTCGGATAAAAAATCCAGCGGACGAAAATAGGTCGGACTAAATTAGAAAGGGTTGAGGGCAAAGATTGCATTGTATGTAAGTTC